CCCCAAAACCCCAAAACCCCAAAACCCCAAAACCCCTCTCATGCTAAGTTAATGGAAAATAAGTTTATGTGGGAATTAAAAGAATATGTCTTCCATGTCCCTATTTTGGTGCCTAGACCTTAGCATCGCTCCTTGATTGACTCTTGAATCTGATGAGTTAGACACTACGTCATCCTCGACGTCTTTTAATGAATTGGCTTCCATATTGTGGAGTAACTTATTCATGTCATTAGCTTCACTTTCTGCTTGACTAAACTCAGACATACATCCTTTTACTTTCTTTTTGAATGTAGCTGGGTCATACAAAGGGCCATTGAGGTCTATTGTCTCACGTCCATTGATATTATTAAGATCTTCCTGCCTAGGATTTTCAGAAAGATCATCGAATTCAGATTCGGATTCCGAGAAATTAAACTTAATTTGGGTCTTAATCTGGTCTTGAATGCCTTGCTTGGAATCATAATCACTTTGTCCACTTGCCATTCCAAAAATAGCGTTTTCCTTCTCCTTCAAGTATGCTGCTTTTTCTAGTTCATCCTTCTCAAATTTATTTTTCATAAAATTTCTATGTGGGAGAGGGTAATCTTCAGATCTATCCGTGGAGAAAGTGCTGACATCAGGCTCTTCACTTATCTTGCCTTCTTTCACATTTCTGTAGCCCTCTAGGAAGTTTTCACCTAATTTGCTGCTCTTTCGCTGATTTGAAAATTGTCCGTAAGTATCGCTATATCTATCCTCATAGATAGTTTTACAAGTTTCTCGCTTATTGAAATTCTCAACGTCGTAAGACTCATTTGCATCCTCAAGGATGGTGTTGAGACCGTTATCTCCTTGGCCTTTCTTCTCGTATGAAGACCTCGCCTTCTTTTTAAACATACTTTTAGCATCAAATAGATTCTTGTCATTAAACTGGGAATTGTCGTACTTGGACTTTATAGCCTTGATGAATAAAACTACAAAGATAGTGAAAATCACTATAGAACTGGAGTAGAGAATGACCTCTTTTCTTGAATGAACTGCTGTCTTCATCTTCTCCCACTGAAGATTTTTAGAGTAGTCCCAGAAAGTAAAATTCCCTTGCTTATTCGCACCAGGAGTGCGAATGATTCCAGGCTTTATCTTTTTCGAGGCTTTATCGGAACCATTCTTATTCGAGCCTTCTTGAGTAGTTATCACATTATCTTGTAAAATATTACTGGATTTCAGTGCGTAAGCACACGATAAAATGAATAAAAGGGTAAGGATAGCAACTCATTTCCTAAAGCAATTTCTCATCTTGATATTATAATAAAATTTTGATAAAATTCCCAGATTAACAAAAGGGGTTTTGGGGTTTTGGGGTTTTGGGGTTTTGGGG